GTGTTCCCTCAGTGCGTCAGTTTACTGGAGCAAAGCGCTAAGGGATCCCTGGTATTCTTAGGTGCTCATGCCTCTAACTCAGGGACAGCACAAGGGGAGGGGGTTAAATCCACGGGGGCTACACAGAGGCCAAGGAGTGAGCAAGTGAGACAGGAGGCGACTCCAAGAAAAGAAAAGAAGGTGGAAAGGGAAAATGACTAAGAAAGGAAAAACCAAAGACTGATTCCACAAAATAGGCTTGGAAGGAATTTGTTCAATAAACTAAGAGAAAAAAATGCAGCTGAAGAGAAAAAGCAGAGAAAGAGCCAGAAAGTTCAGGGCTCAAGAATAATGAGATATCATCCTCATGCCAGTTTCTTAACAGTGTAAGTCAAAAATCTGCAACAACAACAAAAAAAGATTTCTCATTATATATTAGGAATAACAAAATGTATTTTAATTACTGTATATTATTTGTGTTTATATATATCAATGTTTATAGGAATATATAGTCTGAATAAATGTATAAATTATGTGAATCATAAATATATTTCTACACAAATATAGAAATCATTCTGAATATGGTGTATGACCTAAGGTTTTCCATACCCATAGGAATGTTTTGTAAAAAGAAATTTGATTTCAGAAACATGAAGTAACAGACTCAAGGTGAGCAACACAAACAAGTGAACCCAAGTTCACAAATCACACAAGAGTCCCATTCAGTCCCAGATCTGCTGGTCCGTAAACGATGGAGTTTTATTCCACTAGCAATAATTCATATTACAGCAATTCCAGGTAAAAAGGTCTACTCTTTACTAAGGACTTTATGTCTGTTTACTAGAAGTTGTCTGGCTCACTCTCCTGACTTCATTTCGTCCATTCCAATAAGGCTCCAGTCACTCAGCCCTACAAACTCAGCACTGGCTCTAATTTATTATCTTACTCATCCTTGTGCACTGAATCGTGTCCATTCTACTTTGAAACAGTCTCTAACATCCATCCCAGTTCTGTCCTCTCCTCTGGACTATAAATGCACACAGAATCTAAACTAAATTTCTCCCCATCAAATGTCTACCCCAGCCTGTCAGGACCTTGGGCAGCCTGTGACTTCTTTATCTGTGCACCAACTGCCACTCCAGTATCTGAGACCTTAGTGGCTCTTGTGTGCTGCTTAAGGAGACACAAACAAGCCCAGGTGTGGCGGTGCACACCTGCGATCCCTGCACTCTGGGAGCCTGTGGAAGAAGGACCACAAGTTTGAGCCCAGCCTGAGCAATTCACTGACTTAAGGAAGATCCTGAATCAAAATTTTAAATTTTAAAAAAGGACTTGGAATGTAGAACAGTGCAATCGCTCTGGGTTCAACCCCCAGTACCACAAACAAGCAAAGATTTGCATTCAGTTCAGAGCTCTCCACAATATGTTCAACTCTAACTCTAAACAAATCTAATTTCCCCACAGATCTAAGACCAGCCAAGCCAACTGGTGTTCTTCACTGTTTCCCAAAAAAAACACATCCACATGCTTTTCTGCCCTTAAACCTTAACGTGAGATTTTCTTCACCTTGAGCTCCAACAGTCCATTATTTGGATTAAAAGCCTCCTTATCCTTAAACACTCATGTGAAACACTACCTGTGTTTTAAGAGTTTTCAGCCACACCTGATTCAATTCCTTCCTCAATGGAGCCCTCATAAAAATGTACAGAAATTATATCCGGTACTGTCTCATAGATTTTTGGTATTTCTCTTAGTATTTATTGAACAGTGAGCTGACACATAGTCCTCATCCTTCTGTCTCTTTGTCTTAGTCACTGTCTCATCTCTGGGACAAATACCTGACACCCAAAATTTAAAGGAAAAGAGGTTTATTTGGGCTCATGTTTTCAATCTGTAGTTGGCTGCCTCCAAGGCAGGACAGGCATGGTGGAGGAGGAGTCCAGGTAGAGAACTGATGTTCAAATCATGGCGATGCTGCGGAAGCAGAGAGAGAAGCAAGGAGCCAGAGAGGGAGATATATCCTTCAGGTCATTCCCACAGTGACCAGACCCCACCTCCCAAAAGCAAGTCAGCTACATCACTCCAAGACTCTTGCTTTCCAAAGCCCCAGCGGTGGGTGCATGAGGCCGTTGGAGTCATTCTCCATCCCAACGGTGACAGCTTCACCAGCTACCACACAGCACCCTGTGTTTGCTAAGCTGAATTCACCTCGCTGTTCCCAATGACTAAAGCTGAACTCTTTTAAGTGACATACTTCAAAAGCACTTTTGAAATATTTTAAAGAAACCAATGTTTGGGTTTTAGTAATTGTAGCTGTTCATGGGGCTCAGGGCTGCTTTTAAAATGTCAGATAAAAGTTTGTTTCCATGCAATCAAGGATTCTGCTGTTCTAACAGGCACAGTTTATACACAGGACAGTCATTGGGCCAGACCTTTACGCTATGGAAGTTTGAGGAAAATTCATGTGCCCTGAACAAGTGGCCGCTGGAAGAAACAAACTTGATGGAGTGAACGTAATCACTTTCAACCAGCTCAAACCAAAATAAGTACGTTTCTTATGATTCACAGTGTGAGAATCCCAGCGGACTGGACCGAAAAGGCACAGTGTGTCTAACACAGCTGCTGTGAGGGCAGGCCAAAATAGTTATCCCTGTTTGACTTTTGGGGCCTTAAATCAATAACAAGCCCAGACTACATGGAACAAACTATGTTGTTCTCACTGGATCAAATGCCCCCGCAACAACTAGGATAGGCTATCTTTCTGTCTATCTGTCCATACATCTGCCTGGCCATCCACCCATACATCCATCCCAGATCCCTTATGCATCACTATAATGGCAGTATGTTATACATACATACACATTGATATGTACTAAGCACTCACTTTGTATCAAACACTATTCTATGTGTTGTACATATGTCAAGCTTCCCAACAATTCTCTAATATAGTCACTGTTGATATTTCCATTTTACAGATGAAGAAATCAAGACTCGGGATGTTTCAGTAATTGCCCAAGTTCACACAGCTCAAGGGGCCACGATTTGAATCTTGCAAATTTCCTCCTCAGGTTCTACGTACCCCACCACAGTATGATGTACTATGAGTGCAGGGTTGTGCTTTCTTTGTGGAGCAGAAGTTACTCTATTTTTGGCAAGGACCTATGGGGTTTACCAAAGAGGCAAAGTCCAAATGCACATACAAATGGAGAATCTGCTATGTTTTCATACCAGTCATGAAACTCTTTCTGGAAAACGGAATTGAGAAGCTAAATCTAAAGCATAGAACAAGCTGGTAAAGAGCCCCATGTGCTGGGTAAAGATCTCCTCCAGGCCTGGCCAACATGGTCAGAGCGTTCGCAGGGGCATATTCTACACGAGGCCTTGTGAAAAAGCCTCTATAGGCATCGGTTTGCAAGGTGAGAATCATTTCATTCAGCCTTAAAATAAAGAGAAGAGGTTTGCGTCCTATAAAAATGCACAGAACCAGACAAAACTATGTGTGGCTCCATACTGCATTTAGCGCAAGGAAGGACTGGAGTGACTGAGATGTTGGGTAAATAACAAATCATTTTCCAAGAGAGGAGAAATGTTCTAGATCCCATGGCTTCCATCTGCACAGTTGAGCAGAAAGTGGCAGCTCACACCCTCTGGAAGGTACTCACTAGTTTCGCCATTTGAAGGCCACTTCTCCCTTCTTTGTTTTCTAATCAAACAACAATAGAAAAAGTCCAAGAATATTTGCTCAAAACTCATGATATTAAGGAGGCCCTGCCAGAGGCAATGAAAGCCAGAGAAGCTGAGTAACAGTTGAATTTGGAATTGAATATTGGATGTCACTTAGCTTTCCTTCCAAAGGGCTGCCCTTAATAATCCTGCAACTCGTGGGCTGATGAAGTTAAAAGAACAAGTTGTGACTATCAATATTTTAAAACACTTTAAATATTTAAATGTTTTAAAGGGCCGAGCTTCACCCTTCACCAGGTAAACAAAGCACACACATGTATCTGTGCTATCCAAATCACTTCTTGGACTAGTTTCTCCACTGCCACACAGCCCACATGTGAAAACTCTCATACTGTATTCCTGGCCCCAGGCACCAAGAAAAAACATTTTGCTATAAACTGAGTTTTGATCTCTCTGTTACTGTTGGACGTCTTAATCTTCACTGCATCAAGGGTAAAATAAGCTATGATTTTTTCCATACTGATTTGCCAAACCTTCCTCGGAAGGCCTTGTGTCGTCCTTTTATTAATGAAATTCTTGTATCCTTCACAAGGATGACCCAGGGTCTTGGCCTCAAATCAATGACATATTTACATGAAACTGGTAAAGAGGTTCAGCGCTTTCTACCAAGAAATATTTGGACCCTTTTTAATTTCAGAACCCGATCGCTTCTTTCAAATACGCAAGGGAAATGAATGTGCTTTTCACTCCACCCTTATAAAATTCCAAGTCTCTCCGCAGTTCCAGAATTCACCAGCTACAACACAAGAACTATCACCTCGAAGTAAATGTTTGTCTGATTATTTTTTTGTTACAATTTTCTGATGCAGACCCTTGTCTGTGAATTATATCCTAAGTGTGAAAGGCCAAATTAGAGTTCAAAGCCAAAAATCTGGTCCCCTGGAATTGAGGAAAATAATATTCCCGCTCCCCGTGTTTCCAAGCTGAAACTAAAACACAGCTTATGATCTTTAAATATTATGATTAACATTCTTGATGAGAGTAGGGTGCTCGCAAAATAGCTCCATTTGCAAAGACACTGGGGGATTTAGGATAAGACATTCGAATAGAGGTAAATGAGATTTGGAATTAAACGAACGAAGCTAACAAGTATTATTTCGTTTAACTTTGGATCTCAAGGGAGAGAAAAGTATTGCAATAAATACCGCTGACTGCAATAACGTCCGTGGTGTTTATCTGAAGGGAGGCGAATCCCTGCCCTTCTCTCTCCTAAAAGGCCGCGGAAACCTCACCCGGGAAGAGGGGACCACCCCGAGGGCAGACGGCCCCTGCCTTACCTGCGCAGGTGTCCCCGTCGTACGTCTCGCATACCCACTCGTGGCACTCGCACAGGGGCCCGAAGTAGGTGCCCGGCTCGGTCACGTGGCAGATGCAGACGCCGCAGTCGCACCGGCCCCGGCCGTGGCACAGGGCGCTGCCAGGGGCCTGCCCGGGTGCGAGGCACCTGCGCTCAGACTCCGTCCGGGACAGCCTGCAGGGGGCGCCCGACCAGCTCCTGGGGGCGAGAGAGACAGAGCCAGGCCAGGTCAGAGGGAGCCATTCCCCCTTTTGCTCCCAGCCTGGCGTCCTCCCCACTGACCACCCCGGTGGAGATGGTCAGCCCCGCGGATAGCAGGGCTGAGGCCCCGAGCTCCTCTGGGGTCACGCGCTCCCTGCAGGGACTGCTTCTCACGCCAGCAGGTGCCCCGTCCCCTGTCCCCTGAGCAATGGCCAGGGCTTCTTAGGGGACAGAGAGCACCCCGCCCTGGCCCTGAGGTTTGTCACTGAGCCTCATGTGCACGGGCCGATTAAACATACATTAATCCAAAGCACGACGCTTGGCCACTTTTCAGTTCTCTTTTTTAAAAATTCTCATTGCTATCAGGGGACGGTTATTTCATATTTCGATTTAAAAAAGAAAAAAAGCGGGGTGAATATATAGGAAACGCTTTACATATTTATATATAAATTAGATCGATAGATATCTTAGAGCATGATGCTTTTATTTTAATTTCCACTTAGCAGTCATTATACACTTTCAGAGAAGTTCAGTAGTTGTGGTGCACCTCACAGTCTCTTGCAGAACATAATGCAAACCCCGTGCAGATGATGCTGGGAAACAAATAACAACAAGCGTGGGCTGTGAGATCGTGCAGGTGCCTCGCGCACGCTAACCCGCGAGGGAAATTCACCCTGAATGTGTTTGCAGGGGGAGAAATGACCTTCCTACGCACCGATTGCGTTTTCCAAAGGAAAAGCAGAGCAGAGAGGGAGCAGTCGGGGGGATAGAAGCGCAGCCGGAGCAGGTTGGGAGCAGTTGGCCCGGCCCGGCTCGGCTGCTGCTCCTGGCCTGGGGCAGCAGCGTCTGCTGCCTGAACTCACCTCAGCGAGGGCGAGAAGCTCTGCGGTGCGGCCGACAGCCCGGCCAAGAGCAGCGGGGGCAGCAGCAGCCACAGGTGCCCCCCGAGGCCCGGGGGGCGCATGCTGGGCTCCGGCCACGGAGCTGCGCTCTACAGGGAGGGGCCGGCCGGACGCGGGACCCGGACGCCGGCTTCAACGTCCCAGCTCCACCCGCAGTCAGGGCAGGAGCCGCCCGGGAGGCTCTCTGGGCAGCGGGCGCAGCGCTGTGGGCCGTGCTGGTGCCAAGCCCGGAGTGGAGAGGCAGGCGAGGCAGGGGAGTAATTAGAAACAGTTGTACAAGCATATGGTTTATTTTGACGTTTAAAAAAAAAAAAAAAAAGTCCGGTTCACAGATTTGAGAAAATCTTTTCTTTCTTCAAGTAGAGCCCCCAGGACTATTGACTAGAGAATATTTGGGCCGGCTGATACTAAAGGGGCCATTCAAAAATTCTGCAAGCTGGAAAGTGGACGGGGCTGCTGGTAATGCCCGGAAAGATGGAAAGGGAATTTCTCTCCCCAGCGGCCTTCCAAGGAGAAGCGGGTTTGGGGTTTGGGCAGGAGAGGGAGCGGCAAATAAAACTGGGACCTACAACTTTTTCTTCTGTTCAGTATGTTTTGTTTTAAGCTGCGGGTGTTTTGTTTCTTAAGTCTCTAAAAAAGTGTCTTGCTTCCAGTTGCTCAGGTGGGTGCCTTATCCCACCACATTCTTTCCCGAGTTAGACAGTTTAAATTTTAGTTGTCCCGAATTCACCCCGTTCTCCCCCATGCATCCAGAGTGAGGAAACAAAATAAAATGTCTGTTTATGGGGTGACTGCATGGGAAAAAAATTAATGTACCTTCTTAATCACCCACCTAATCATTAGCCACTTATATTTTATCCGTTTTTTTGTTTGTTTGGTTGGTTGGGGTTTTTTTGGTTTTTTGATTTGTTTTTGTTTTGTTTTGTCTTTGATGATACCGGGTATTGAACCCAGGGCCATTGCACTGAGCTACATTCACAGGACCCCTCTCCCTTTAATTTTTATTTATTTGGAGGCAGGGCCTCACTAAGTCACCATGTTCTCCAGGCTGGGCTCAAGATTTCAACCCTCCTGTTTCAGCCTCCCAGGGTTCTGGGATTACAATGCCATGTCACTAAGTCCAGCTACACATTCCTTCCTTAATTACACAGCTGTTAGGTGCTAGAAGGAGGGGACACAGCAGAGGGGTAGGGAAAAAGATGCAGTGGGCTATGACATTAATCAAAACAACAACAACAAAAAACAAACACAAAATGACAAATGAGTGCAGAAAAATGTTTTCTAATTAGCTAAAGGTGCCTGGTCTCATCTAAGAAGGTGCCATTTGGGCTTAAGGAAGAAGAGAATTCAATTGAGTAATAGGAAGCTGGTGGAAGACAGTCAAAAACCATTTTGATTTTATTCCCACTTTAATGACAAAGAAACTGAAAGCAAAGAGATTAACAGACTTGCTCAAACTCACAGAAGAACTTAAAGGGAGAGTTCAGGTGAAATCCACAGGATGCTCAAAGCTCAAAACACACACCCTGTTGCCTGCATTGTGTGGCCATGTGGGAAGTGTGTCGAGAGAGAAACGGAGGGAAGAAACCATGCTTCATTCACCCTAAGAAGAGCACTTTCAATACAATAGTTCCACCTGAAACAACCACACAAGAACCATGGTTCTGTGGCTTTATCACTAGGGAAGAACTGAGGTGAAATGGAATTTCTCTCTGTCATCTACATGGATCCCTAGAAGGATGAGTCCACCCAGCATTGCCTTAAGAAGGTAAATGAAGGTCTCTGCTCACAGCCCATGCCTTCTGTACTGCCATGCTGGTCTCCACCTGTACCAGTAGGGTTTACATGGGCCTCTCCCTGTATCCACCTGGCCTATACAGCCAGACATCCTCCAATAGCTGTCCCTTTGTCGGACCTTAATCCAGATATGCATGCACTGGTGAGGGGGTCTTCAAACAGAACGGGACAGGTGCACAGTCCTGGGAGTGGGATTGGAGGGTGACTTAGCAAGGAATTCTAGAGTCTCTCCCTTAACAGTAAGGAACACAGGCTATGAGGTGGTTCAGTTTCCCTGGGCCAGTTCTGCTACTTATCTTGCAGAGAGGGTTCTGTTCGAAGGAGATACAGTGGGAGTTTAGCAGTTCAGAGGTGGAGAATGACAATGAGTGGTTCCCAAAATGGAGAGCAGCAGCATCAGTACAACCACCACCTAAGACCTTCTTAGAAACGGCGGTTCTCAGGCCCTCCCCAGATCTACTGAATCACAGGGAGTATTTAAATGATATCTCAAGGAATCTACTTGCACATTGTGAGTAGGAAAGCTGTGCTGAGTCTGAGAGTCCCTGGATCTAAGAGCAGTGTTTCCACTTCGAGTACAACTTCTAGAGTTACATTCCTTCCTAGCCACGTGTACTACCACAAGGATGCAGTCTCCACTGCCAACATCAAGAAACCTTGGTGACTCAGAGAATATGGGAATACTAGAAGAGAAGCACTAAGCCCAAAACCTGACAAGGAATCTGAAGTGAAAACACAGAGTTGTCATTAATGAGTCATGTATTGTTTGCTTTTTTTTTTTGCATATTTTGTGAAAGGAAAAGATCACTGTACTAGAGGGACATGGATTAAAATTTTTAATCCCACAGTATGCCCATACAGGATAGTATCCAATGAGCAATATTATCTTCAAGAGTGAAAGAGTGAGCAGCTGTGAAGTAAAGGTAGTATACATCAGGTAATGGAAAGATTTTAAATGTGTGGATCATGACATTACTGTGATTTAGAAATGATGACCCTGTAATTAGAAATAGTTATATTGTAGCTGACTTGGTGACTCAGTAGAAAGTCTTGGATCTACAGAAACTCTGTCAAAACAAAAGGATTGTTCTAAATTTTGCCAAACCTTAAACTTTGGTTTTCTTTTTAGCAAAGTATGATTTTTTTTCTGACAAAGTATTCAGTCCTTTGGAAATACCCGCTTTCTCTTCTGTCCTAGTTTGTAGTACCTCAAGGACACACCTGCTGTGTGGAAGGCCCCTAGGGTCCCATCTCTCCAGGCTGGAAGGACCCCAAGTCCACTCTGGGACAATGCATGAGCTGGCTGCACAATGAATTCATGCATGTAGACCCACACAACAAGAAGTTGAAAACATCTTAGTCCTTGAATATAACCCTTAAATTCTCAGGTGACAAAATTATAGAATTTCAAGATTCGAGATATTCTTTTAAAGGATGTTTCCTTCCAAATTAAATTTCACAGCAACATATAACACATCTGCCAAGTGATTAGGTAGACTTGATAAGAAAACCAAGGTAAAGGGACACACCCTTTTCTGAGAGCTGCTCTGACTTTCTCCCTCCGCAGTTTCTGGTTAACTCCAAAAGGATATTTAAAATAATATCCTGGGCTCTAGGCTTGATTCAAATATTTTGCAATATAATATCATCTTCCCCAGGCCCAATACCTGCCCATTTAATAAAGCAGAGCTCCAAATAGTTCTATACTTTTGTAAAGAGTAATCATTCTCAAGGCCTCTTGCTAGGTGTTATAGCTTCATGCCTTCAATTTCTGAACTTCCTGAGTTTTTCCTTTGTCTGGGGTGGATGTCTTCTGTTGAACATGATCTATGCAACCATTAAAGACCATTACAGAAAGTGTGGTCTAATGCATGTGGATTGGATCACTTCTTTCAGCATGCTTTTTTCATATAATAAAAGTGAGTACCACACAGTATTCGCTTTTTGAGTGCTGCATCATTCCAACTGTGCACTTGAACCAGTGTGTTTTTCCTCAAACACAAAATGATGTTTGTCTTTCTTAAATTGCACCCAGTCTTGGTTCTTTTGTCTAGATAGTAAAAACCACTGTGGATACTGGTTTCATATTTCTCTCACCCTTGCAAAAATAAGTATGATTATCAAAACATTATCCAAATAACTAGTAAGACAGTTGAAAAAATTTAATCTCAGCACCACATTTCCTAGGGACCTTCCTTCTAGACAATAACAGTCCCCTGCTTAGCACAGACTGAACAGGAAATTCAGGCACTTTCCAGTGTACTGAGTTGGCAGGCTCAGCCCACATATTTCTTTCCTGTTCATAAGTTTAAGAAAAATCCCACCTGTTGCCTTACCATTCCTAGTTTAACAGGTAAAACTTGGCCTTTCATACCTTTTCTATTATCATCAAAAACTTTGATGATACTAACACATACTATAAGCTCTATCTAGATTTATGGTATGAATAAATTAACTTAATACACAAAATGGTTAATAGAGCTATGAGCTATCTATCAAAAGGGGCATTCTGTGTATTCTGGATCAATTGTCAGATGATACTGAGGTAGGCCAGAAGAAATAAAGACAGACAGAAAAGAGAAAAGAAAATCATAACAAACAGCTGTATTTTTAAGACTGAAACTCCAGGACACAGTCAAAATTACACAGGATTATCTGTATCAGTATTCCCTAGGTTTGTTTATGCTTCTTTTCTTCTAGCTCCAACATACTCCAAATCTCTTAAAGATACTTTAAGTCTATAAATTAGCATAGTTGATAAAGAACAGAAACCTGATCTTAAGATAAAGGGACAGATTGAAACAGTTCAAAGGCTGTCTTTAGCCAAAACATCTTAGCTCACACCCCCTCCAGATTTGTGGGCCCCATGCCTTTCATCTGTAAAACTGGACGTTATCTTTCTGTGTGTAGGCCATCCTTTTTCCTGAAAACCAAGACCAAGACAGAGCTTCCTGTAGATTCACAAATTTCACAGATTTCCACTGCAAAAAACACATAATATTCCCAGCTTCAAACTGTAGTGCCCCCCCTGCCCCCCTGCTCTCTCTCTCCTCTCTGGTACCTGCAGTTTCTTTCTTTGAGTGTGTGCTTTTAAATTTCTCTACATAAATACTTTCATGCCTCTTACTGATGTGCCCTGAAAATCCTCTTTCTGTGACAAGAGTCAACAAACCTGCAACTTCTCAATGGGTAGGTGGATTTGGGAGTCCTTCTTACCACTTGGGGAGTCCCCCCAAGGACCCTGTCCAGTGACCATATCTGGGCTTTTGTATCTTCATTGCAGCATTGTAGGTTCAACCTGAATCCACATAACACATCCTCCTCTTACATGCTCAACTTTTGCTAATTACATCATTTTTACTTAATTCTTACAACTACAATTTTGAGAGTTACCTTTGGTTCCTACCCACAATTCATCT